CCCATGTTAATCTTGCTCTGAGATAATACTCCTTACTCATACGTGCACTCCGACTACTTAGTAATCTGAAAAAGTAACTGTCGGTTCAGCCAGAACACAATCATATGTTTGACAAAAGCACACAATCATGTGAGCTCCATGGCAAAGAAGATACAGAGTATTTCTTTCACTCCCCAAAGTTCCCTCTTGGCCCTGTGCAATCCCGCTCTTCCACCCGATTGCAGTCTTTGGCAAACAACGATATTTCTGTCCTGCAGTCTTGTCTCTTTAGAATGTCATATAAATGGAATCAAATAGTACACAGCCTTTATACCTGGCTTCTTTTACTTAGCATAATGCTTTTGAGACCTAGCCATGGTGTTGCCTGGATCAGTAATTTGTTCCTTTTTGCTTCTGAATAAGTATTCTGTAGTATGAATGTACCACAGTTTGTCCATTTGCCATTTGATGAAAATGTGAGTTCTTTCCAGGTTTTAGCTATTATGAAGAAAACTTCTATAAACTTTTGCTAAAAGGGCTTAGACAAACACAGGTTTTCATTTCTCTTAGGTAAGTACCTGGAGGTGGGATCACTGGGCCAAGCAGCATTTAGCTTTTGTCCACTAAGAATAGGTAAACATTTACCAAGCACTAAATTTGTGGCACACAATGCTAACTCTTGGTACACTTTATGCTATTCAATTCCTAAAATGGCAATCAAGCTATTATTGTTCCCATCTTACCAAAAGGGAACTGATGTACAAAGAGATGAGGTCTCTTGCCTGGGATCACACATCCAGTACGGGCAACAGAGTCAGGATTCTCAAACCCAGGAATTGCATGGCCAAGTGCAATTACCAAGCATTTTGCTTTGCTGTCTCCCCAATGTCAAACGCATGATGCCTGAGAGAGAGAGCACAAAATCCAGCGGAAGCTCTGTATCTTTTGAACAAAAGTCGACTATTGTTCACTGCTGACTATTCCTTTCCTCCTTTTAAAACCATGACAATGACTACATCGCTGGGACTCAGAGGACCACTGCAATAATAAGATGTCATTTTAACAATCAAGCTTTATAGGACATTATGTGGAAATGCTTTTAACTGTTTGACAGAAGTTTATAAGTGTTAGTTTACAGGTGTTAAAGAACAACTCTAACAGAAGAGCCAGCCTCTTCTATCAGGATCATAAATACTCATAGTTAATAATGACCTCTTCTATAGACCTCTTTACTCCCATGATATAAGAGGCCAAATGTGGTTAAAAATAAATAAATACAAGGATCATGGAAGGAGAGGGACCTACATTCAAATTTTAGTTCTTCTCCCTTGTGGACAGGTGCATAGACAAGGTCTGTCCAGAAAGTATCCATCCATGTACTATGAAAAGGAGACATTTATTGAAGAAGATACAAGATACAAAAAACAGTGTACATAGGACAATGATGCCTCAGCCCCCCTCAAAGTAGGCACCTTGGGACCTCACACAGTTCCAATCACAATAAGCTGTCCTATTCTACTTTGTTGAACCTCATTGATGGTCTGAAATCTCTTCCCTTTCAAAGATGAATTTAGTTTTGGGAAAAGCCAGAAGTCACAAGGCACCAAATCTGGGCTGTAGGAGTGCTGAGTCACCTGGGTGATTTGCTGTTTTGCCAAGTCTCTGCACAAGATGTGATGTATGAGCAGGCTCATGCATTATCATGATGAAAATGCCAGTCACCAGTTGCCCATACGTGCAGCCTTCTGAATCATGTGAATAGTTTCTGTGGAGTCATGTTCAAGCTTAATGCAAAATTTGATGCAGATTCATTGCTCTACTCCCTCAGTCATTTTGAATGTGACGGCCACACAGTACACATGCTTATTCAATGGCATCTACTGCCCCTAGTGACTAGTACAGTGAAGTCATCATTGTTTACACATGTGCATTCCAGTCCACTCTCCTTGGCTGCCAGGTTACATCCATGTTGCACAAACAGTTCTTGTTTCATTAATAATGGCTGGATGTTTTCAGGACAAGCCTCATGTGCCTTATCACATGTTAAAATTGGTGTGAATGAAGCCTAATGTGCAGAGTAGTCATAAAGATTCCATGGCACAGCATGAGTGAAGCCATCGAACACTGTGTCTTACTTAATTAATAAACTTTTGTCCTTTCCCTCCTCCTTCTCTTCCAGAATGTACTACTGAGCCTCTGAAATTAGTATAAAAGAAATAGGTTACTTAACAAAAACTTTGATTGGCTTGTTAGTCTTTCATCCAAATAGGAGCAAAGGAGAGACTAGAAGTAGATGGTTCTTTAAAACTTCTTATTTTATTTTAAAAAATATCACGAAGACCTTGCATTTCATTTCACAGTATGATCAGAGTTAATTCTATTATGTCATACACCTGTAACAGATTTATGGGAGAAATTTATAATCCTTCACCCACTCCTCCCAATACGCTACCCTCTGCCTCTGGCAACTACCAATCTGTTCTCTGTAAATTTGGTTTGTTGCTTAGATTTCACATTGTAAAAGACATCATACAATATTTGTCTTCCTCTGACTTATTTCACGTAGCGTAATGCCTTAAAGTTCCATCCATGTTATCACAAATGGCAAGATTTCGTTCTTTTTCATGGCTGAGTAATATTCCATTATATATATATATATATATATATATATATATATATAATTTCTTTTTTCTGTATTCATCCATCCATTAATAGACACTTAGCTTTTGTTAATAATTGTAATGCTGCAATGATTCACTCAGTCATTTTGAATGTGATGGCTACACAGTACACATGCTCACTCAACAGCATCTACTGCCCCCCCCCCAAACAAGTACAGTGAAGTCATCATTGTTCATGCATGTACATTCCAGTCCACTCTCCTTGGTTGCCAGGTTATATTGACATCACACAAACTGTTTTCATTATATTAACAATGGCTGGACTTTTTCCAGGCAGACCTCATATATCTTTTCTAGTTAGTGTCTTCACTTTCTTTAATAAATACCCAACTATCGAATTGCTGGATCATATGGTAGTTCTATTTTTAACTTTCTGAGGAATCTCCATACTTTCTTCCATAGTGACTGCTCCAGTTTACAATCCCACCAGCAGTATACAAGGGTTCGCTTTTCTCCACATCTGTGTAAAGTCTTATGTCTTGTTTAGTTTTGTTTCGTTTTGTTTTTGATAATAGCCATTCTGTCAGGTGTGAGGTGACAGCTCATTGTGATTTTGATTTGCATCACCCTGATGATTAATGACATTGAGCATTTTTCCATGTACCTGTTGGCCACCTCTACATCTTCTTTGGAAAAGTGTCTATTCAGTTTTGTAGTTGCATTTATTTTGCTATTAAGTTGTATGTGTTCTTTGTATATTTCAGAGATTAGACCCTTATCTAATTAGATATGACTTGTGAATATTTTCTCACATTCAGTAGATTAGTATCCTTTACTGTGCAGAAATTTTGTAGTATGATGCAGTCCTACTTATTTATTTTTGCTTGTGTCGCTTTTGCTTTGGTGTGAGATTCTAAAAAGCATCGCCACGACCTCTATCAAGGACCTTACCACCTTTTTTCTTCTAGGAATTTTACAATTTCATGTCTGACATTCAAAGTTATTTTAATATAAAAATGTTGTGCACGTACCTCTAGCTGAATGACTTAGCTTTCTCCTGAACTTTTTAAGAATATTTCTCTTAGGAAGATTTCCCCTGATAAATGGTGGCTTTGCTTATATGCTGCCACCTTGCCACTTACCTGGGACATGAAGACTCCCAATTATAGCCCTGGCTGGTGCAGCTCAGTGGATTGAGTGCTGGCCTGCGGACCAAAGGGTCACCGGTTTGATCCCCAGTCAGGCCACATGCCTGGGTTATGGGCCAAGTCCCCCAGTAGGGGGTGCATGAGAGGCAACACACATTGCTGTTTCTCTCCTTTTCTTTCTCCCTCCCTTCCCCTCTCTCTGAAAATAAATAAAATCTTTTAAAAAAACCCTCCAATATAAAGCATGAACCTGCAAGGTCTTATTAAGACTTCATAATGCTTTCACAGATTCTGGTCATTGTTCTCTTCTGTCTGGAGCATCTTAACATCTGCCCTACAACACTGCCCAGTTTGCAATTTTGGCTCCAAAAAGTCTGAACTCTGAATTCTCCAAACAAGAAAACAGCTATTTTCTATTACTCCTTTGTGGAGCCTCATGGCCCCCAGTAAAGTGAAGAGATATTGGCTGCAATCTGCTTGCTGTTACAGCTACAAAAGTAAACATAATAGTACACTTTCAAATAAAAAGAAGACACTGGCCAAGCATAACCTTAAGTAAACTGGGATGACAGATTAATAGGTTTTTTAATCAATTAAAAAGACTTTAACATGTTAATCCAGAGAAGCGAAAGGATTTAATTCAACTATGGATGCTCAGAGTTGTATATGCAATATGGTAAGGGAAATAATTTAGTCCTGAACACATTCTTATGAAATAGCATTATTTTTCTCCAGACAAATTTTTATCGTAATGTAATGCCACACACTCTCTTTCATTTATGACATACACACTTGTAAGTATGTTATTCAAAAGATCCTGGTTGTTGTTAAGTACCTTGAGCAACACGTAAAGTTACTGAAATTTTCTTTTCATTATTTTGTCATCAAAAACCCCTTGATAAATGTATATATTATTTAATTTAATTTAATTTTTTTGCCAAAAAGCCCTCTTCTGGAAGGCAGGAGTAGGAAGTCCTTGTGTGTTAGATCTTGGCTGTTGACAGGTAAGAAATAACTTTTGCTTTCAGAAGCTAGCCTATGGGAATGGATTTTTTTTTTTAATTTAGCAATCCATGTGGACTAATTGATAAATAAAAAATTAGGGGATTTCAATACAACAAATAGTATTTGGGACTCAGTGACATGCCAGAAAGTTACAGAAAGGACAAGATACAGGTTCTGTGCTCCTGGAGCTGACCGTCTGAGGGGAAATGTAAGTGAGAGCGCTATTCAGATACAAAGGGCATCTTACCCAGACCGGATGGGAGAGTCTGAGTTCTCAGTAAAGGCCTGTTGGAGGCGGGAACATCACCTGAAGGACGAGGAGGCATTAATAAATAAAACGGACATATAAGGAGGCACTGTCAGGCAGTAGGAGGCATCAGACCTGAGTACCAGACCTGCCTCTGCGGCAACCTGAGAAAGCTGTTTAACCTTTCTAGCTCTCATTTTTCCTTACCTGTGATATGGGATGGTTACGTTTTGTCAGTTGACCTTATCTCTTACTGTGCATAAGAATCATCTAGAAGCTTTCTAAAAATACCAACTCCCTCCCTCAGAAACATGGTTTCAATTGATAAGGGCATTTGTATTTCTTTGAGAAGCTTTCCAGGTAAAATCAGTTTGCAACCACAGCCGAGAGCTGCTGAATATAATGACCTCTTAAATCCCAGATATCTTAGGTCTGTGGTTCTCAACTCATAGTGCACAATCACATCCTCTGCAGAGCTTTTAGAAATCCCAGTGGAGGTTGCATTCTAGACAATTAAACCAGAATCTCGGGGGTTGTGACCCAGGCATCAGAATTTTTTAAAGTTCCCAGGCTGAATCCAAGGTGCAGCCTAGGTTAGAACCACTGTTCCAGGCCCTTTTGATGCTTCAGTTTCCTATTACAGCCACTGACGGAGAATGAAAAAAGGAAGCCAAGGGAAGCTCATAAATTCTCCCTCTCTAACTCTTATCTTAATAGTTTTTTTTTAACCAATTGAAAAGACTTTAGCATATTAATCTGGAGACGCCCAAGGATTTAATTCAACTAAGCTAACAAAATGTGGCTGCTTAGAGTTATATATGCAATATGGTAAAGGAAATAATTTTGTCCTTAACACATATTTTTATGAGCTGAATGCCAAGGGCCACAGACACATTTTAAATGGGGTTGTACCCACAGAGTAGGGTTGATTTTGGACATTTGCATAATTCATGGCGGTGAAGGACAGGTGGAAAATGCCCATTGCAAAGCGCTCTCAGTTCTAAATTTAAAATTCAATAGCACAAGTCTATAAACTGACTCCATGGTGCGTTCTCTGCAATGCTTAGTTAGAATTTGATTTGCATGGTTGACTGCAATATGAACATTACATTCCCTGCCCCCAAGGTTACTTAAATCCACTTATTAGGCAATGGTGAACTAAACAAACAGTAATTAGAAACACTCCAGACAACCTTTTAAATCTGTTACTAAATTATATTTTTCCTGCACCAAAGCCCACACACACAGCACGTCCACAAGCATCATGAGACCAAAGCCTCAGAAATATTTACGTTAATAAGAGCACAAGCTACCTCCGGGCTTTCGCATTGGATTCCACAGGGAAGTAAGGGCTGCTTTAGAAGAGGAATGTTGGTATTTCTCACATCTGGGTTAGTAAAGCACTGCCCACATGTGGTTAGAAACCCAGGAGAAAATGAACTCTCCGGGGGTGTGGAAATGAAGAAACACCTCTGACAGACTGCTTCATTTCCTAAAATGAGTTAGAAATGAAAGTAATTCTTCAGCAAAGAACATCTGCACCGTGGTTCAGCTTGTAGAATGATGCCAGGTGATACCTGTGGCTAAGCAGCCGGGCCGGGGAAACAGCGGGGCTGGGGGGCCCCGCACTGCCCTCTGTCTCAGAGCTGCATGCAGGGCTCGGAGGGGCTGCAAACCCAGTGGGCGCCGGGCACCCCAGTCTCAACTGTAAATCTGGATTAGCAGTAAGACTGCTCACATTCCATGAGAAAGCTGGTCCCTCTCCAAATGGTGCAAACAGCCAGAGGGGGTTCATGTGCAGCCATGGGCATGGAAACAGCAATTCTTAGATGAAAAACTGTTTTACTCAACTAAAAACAGCCTATGCTTGCTAATCATTTGAACAGACCTTTCTTCCTGAGGAGGAAGGGCTGCTGTATGGAGATGAGTTGATGCTGCCAAAGGAAGCCCAGGAGAGGTACCGGCATGGGGTTGGGTACAGGGAGGTAAGAAAGACTGAAACACCTTTCACAGCGCCTCCGGTCAGGACCAATATGCAGAAAGGTAAAAAACAAAGGCTGTCTTCACCAAAATTGGGGCCAGTTACTTCTGTTAGGTGGCTTGTCACTATTCTTTCCATCATGGGTTTTTAAAAGGAGTCCAACTCTGTTGATTGCAATGGGGGTGGGGAGGTAGACGGGGGCAGTTGAGGAACCCTGGAAACAGCATAAATGCCCATTAACAGGTGATTAATTATATTAACTTCAGGCACATACACAATGGAATACGACATAGTCTTTCGAAAGAAGGCCAATGCAGAACGTGTGCAGATACTGAGATGTCTGTATTCCACGTGATACGTTAAGAGAGGAAAAAAATGCACCTGGTGTCTGTACAGCAAACATCTATGTAAATGTATTGAAAGAAGTTCCCCTAGTGCAGAAGAAAGAGGCCAGAAGAGTATTATTTTTCCTTTTATAGCCTCTAATACAGCTTGAATTCTCTTTTTATGTACTTATACCCTCCCCTTCTTAATAATAGGCATTAAATATGTGTAAGGCTATTTCTGGTTTCTCCTTTATACTAGTTTTTCTATAAATAATTTAAAACAAAGGGTGTTATTTTAAATAGATGTTATAGGCTGAACTGTGTCTCCTCAAAATTCAGAACTTGAAGCCCTAACTGCCAGTACCTCAGAATGCAACTAAATTTGGAGATAAGGGCTTTAAAGAGGTGATGATGTTAAAATGAAACCATTAAAGTGGACCCGAGTCCAATCAGACTGGTATCCTCCTAAGAATGTGAAATATGGACACACACAAAGATGCCAGGGATGTGCACACAAAGGAAAAACTATGTGAGGACACAGGAAGAAGGCACAGTCAAGCCAAGGAAAGAGGGCCCAGAAGAAACTAAATGTGCCAACACCTTGGACTTAAACCCTCAGGAATAGGGGGAGAATAAATTTCTGTTGCTTAACCCACCCAGTCTGTGAGTGTTTTGTTATGGTAGTCTTAGCAAATTAATACAACATATCAATAAATACTTAGATAAAATTCACCTAACAGAGAGAGAGGCACCCACAAAAGTATTTGATAGATCAAGACCCCACTATGCCTGCTATGATGCAGATGGCCTCACTGGGCAAGCGAAGCCAAACTGGAGCTCACAGTGCTTCTGACTATATCAAGGGCGCCCATTAAGTGACTGGAGCCAGGGCTAGAACAGGTTTCCTACTTCCTGACTCAGGACTCTTCCTGCTCACACCGTTTATTTTTATGATGATTTTAACAAATCGCACAACTCAAAGGACTAGAGCCCAGGATATTTTATTTATTAGTGTCTTTTTAAGGCTTGGCTTATTTTCAAAAGGCTTTCTTCCTGTGCTGATAACTAATGAAAAGGAAAGTGTTACAGTAATATTACTAATTTGATTAAAAAAAAAAGACTTGGCACCAGGGTTTAAAAATTCAGAATAACAAATGATATGTCATATTTGTGTGCCAAACTAATTTTTATACTTTAATACATGTTGGTCTCAGAACACAATATTTTAAAGGTATGGTAGTCCCAGGCTAAAATTTTCTTTATACAATTTTATAGATTTTTACCAATTAATCAACCTTTCCTTTAAATATTAGAGTTTAGAGATCAAAGGCACATTAAAATCCCAACTTTGTCTATGAAATCTATAACCTAAAAGTGGGCTAAGATCCAATCACATGAAAAGAAGGTCAAAGCTTGAAGATAAATATTTGATAGTCAGCTCAGGCTGCATTCAGAGGAAGCAGAATCATTTGTGCTTCAAATGATTAGAGATAGTCTCACCAAGGACAAGAGCTCTGAGCCAGTCTGGGATTAAACACATAAATGTAAAGAAGTGATGTTTTAAAAACATATAAATAAGATTTATTTTAATAGAAATTTTGTACCATTCCTTTTCTTTTTGATCTCATTTTAATTTCCCATAAAATTTTTAATTAAAAATTTTTTTAATTAAAGAAATTTTTTTCCATTACAGTTTCCATTCAATATTATTTTATATTTCAGGTGTCCAGCATAGTGGTTAGACAATTATGTACTTTACAAAGTGTTCCCCCTAAAAAGTTTTTGCAGCAAAGGAAACCATCAACAAAATGAAAAGACAGTCTACTGAACGGGAAAACATATTTGCCAATGCTATCTATATCTGATAAGGGGTTAATATCCACAATTTATAAAACTCATACAACTCAACACCAAAAAAAAACAAAAACAAAAACCAAATTAAATAAATGGGCAAAAGACCTAAATAGATACTTCTCAAAAGAGGATGAAAGATGACCAATAGACATGAAAATATGCTCAATGTCACTAATCATCAGGGAAATGCAAATTAAAACCACAATGAAATATCACCTCACACCTGTCAGAATGGCTGTCATCAATAAATCAACAAACAACAAGCATTGGAGAGGATGTGGAGAAAAGGGAATCTCATGTACTATTGGGAAAAATGCAAATTGGTACAGCCACTGTGGAAAACCATATAAAGTTTCCTCAAATAATTAAGGCTGGAACTACCTTATAACCCAGCAATTCCAATTTTATGTATATATCCAAAGAAAACCAAAACACTACTTCAAAAGAATATATGCACTCCTATCAATTGTTCATTGCAGCTCTACTTAAAAAACCAAGCTGTGGAAGCAACCCAAGTGTCCATCAATAGACAAATGGATAAAGAAGGTGTGATATCTATAATGGAATATTACGTGGCCATAAAAAAGAACAAAATCTTACCATTTGTTACAGCATGGATGGACCTAGAGGGTATGCTAAGTGAAATAAGTCAAGAGACAAATACCATATGGTTTCAGTTACATATGGAATCTAAAGAATAATATAAACAAATGAAACAGAAACAGACTGATAGATATGAAGATCAGACTGACGGTTGCCAAAGGAAAGAGGGGTTGAGGCACTGGGTGAAAAGGTGATGGAATTGATAAGTAGAGGTTGGTAGTTACAAAACAGTCAAGGTCATGTAAAGCACAGCATATGAAATACAGTCAATAATACTACAATAACAATGTGAGGAG